CGGATTTTGGTTCTTGACATCCTTTACGATCGGTTACGATGCCTAGAGTACGGAGACCTGTACGATTTCGTCAACTTAGTGAGTTTGATAGGGGCCGTATAGTGGGACTTCGTGAAGCTGGACTTTCTTTTCGGGCAATTGCAGTTAGAGTGCAAAGAAGTGTAGACACTGTGGTTAGGTGTTGTCAGGCATGGCTTCGAGAAGGCCGTACGCAAAGAGCACGGAGCACTGGACGCCGCCGTAGAACAACAGACCGTGAAGATCGCCGCCTAAGATTATTGGCTTTAAGGGACCGTTTCTCCACTACCAGGTCCATTGCAAATGAATGATTTGCAGAACACAGAAGACCTATTGGCATGCGAAGTGTTTACCGACGAATGAGAAGTTTTGGCTTGTTTTCACACCGGTCACACTGGATCCTCCCTTTAACTCGAGAACACCGACGTAATCGCCTTGAGTGGTGCAGACAACGGTCACTCTGGGATCAGGAATGGAGCAGTATTGTCTTTAGTGACGAGTCTCGATTTTGTTTAGGCATGCACGATGGTCGTGCCAGGGTTAGAAGGCGACGTGGTGAAAGGAGGAATCCACAGTTTTTTGTTGAAGGACATGTTCATCACACTGTTGGAGTTATGGTTTGGGGTGCTATAGCTTATGGTTCCAGGTCACCTTTAATCTTCATCAGAGGTAACATGAACGCGCAGCGTTATATCCACGAAGTTCTAGAACCCCATCTTTTACCCTATCTTGACACCCTGGCAGATCCAAATTTCCAACAAGATAATGCCCGACCACATGTTGCAAGAGTCACAATAGACTTCTTTCAACATAATGATGTCACATTGTTACCATGGCCACCAAGATCTCCCGACCTATCCCCAATTAAGCACGTGTGGGATATGATGGGTAGGAGATTGCTCAATTTGCAACGTCCTCCTCAGACTCTAGAAGCACTTCGAGAGGAGTTGGTGGTTGCCTGGAATGAGATACCACAGGAGGACATTGACCACCTGATCAGAAGCATGCCTAGGCGCGTTGGAGAATGCGTAGCACATCAGGGTGCATCCACACATTATTAAAGGTCAAAGGGCTTTAAAGCAGTGCAATCATTTTGAAATTTTTATCATTTACTTATTATGCTTCATTAAGTACTTATACAAAATTTTATTAAAATAAAACCATTTAAACTGGGTGTTCGGATTTATATGTCACTTAGTATACATAAAGTGTGAAATAAATTGCATTTAATTACACCCATTTTGACCCATGTTAGATAGCATCTTTGCTTAACGTAGAATACTTAGGATAACAAAAAGCTGTAGAATTAGCACAAAAGAAGTACAACTTCACAGACTAGTTTTCGAATGGTGTGCGGAAATGCACAAAATAATCAATTTTTTCCAGATTTTTTCTGTTTTTGTCTGTTTTTAAGTATGTTTGACGGTTAGTATCAAAACAAGTTTTTCAATATACGCTAGGACAACATGTCATCGTTCAAATGACACCAAATATATCATTATGTGGCAATTATGAACTCAGTTATTACAATTTTCATACATGCACTACCATTATCATAAGGTAAAAATAAAAATGGCTGACATTTCAAGGGAGATGAGGTAGGACATTGTAGGGAGGTGGATTTGCCGATAAAGATTGTTGAAAAATACCCCTCTTAAATATCGGTATGTCGTGACCAAACACATTGTATATATGTTATATCTAAAGAGACATGAGAGTATTTCAATCTATAATCTCGACTATAGATGATCGATATCGTTATATTTCAATATCTGTGATACTTGAAAATCTAAAAGCGCATAATAGGTAACACCCTGATAGAACCACGTGGCGAGAAATACCAAAACCTATAAGGCGTTATATCGTTATATATTATTATAGGCCACGATAATCTTACGGTGGTATACGGTTTTCGACCTCAGCAGCAGGTATGCATGCTGTAACATGCCACTCAAACATTAGCCCTATAGTCTTGTGACAATGCACCAAGACCGCGCCGTTCGCCACAAGTGATTCTTTTTGTTGGTATTTTGTAAGAGTTATGATTCGTGATTTAAAAATATCAGTTTCTGAATCGCAGTTTGTAAAATATCTGTCGTCATAATCGCTACTAACTGAACAGGCAGACTACTGAATTTTATTTTAGGCGATCTTATCAGAGTTTACTGATTTCTTGAATTATGCAAGTCAATTGGTAGTACAGGGTATAGAAAGATATTTAAAATTAGGAGAATACTTTTGAATATGCAACGTCTCTACAAAATTTGGATTACCGTGGTTTCATGTTTTTTAACCATATTTTAGTTTATCAAGAACACTCGATAAATATCCATTGTATTCAAGTATATCCAGATCTGTAACGAAAAATATAGGTATATATAAAAATGCAACTTTGATATCCTGCTAAGTATAATCCTAAATATATTTTTAAAATATTCCTGTATGTCTACCTTCTCTTCAAGGTAACTGATAAAAATCTAAAAATCAATATAGTCGATGATACAAATATGAATTTACCTAGATCCCCTCTTGAGATGTGAAATTCAAATTCCTTATATATCAAAGAAAATTAGATCCATAACATATAAAGTGAAATTTATAACTGGTACATACATTAACTGAATATTATCTACGAATAATATATCAAGCTTTAGTCAATCTTCACATAACATATGGTATCATAGTATGGGGTGCTGGATGCATGACATATACTAAGTGACATATAAATCCGAACACCCAGTTTAAATGGTTTTATTTTAATAAAATTTTGTATAAGTACTTAATGAAGCATAATAAGTAAATGATAAAAATTTCAAAATCTCTCTCCTACCCATCATATCCCACATGTGTTCAATTGGGGATAAGTCGGGAGATCTTGGTGGCCATGGTAACAATGTGACATCATTATGTTGAAAGAAGTCTATTGTGACTCTTGCAACACGTGGTCGGGCATTATCTTGTTGGAAAGTTGGATCTGCCAGGGTGTCAAGATAGGGTAAAAGATGGGGTTCTAGAACCTCGTGGATATAACTCTGCGCGTTCATGTTACCTCTGATGAAGATTAAAGGTGACCTGGAACCATAAGCTGTAGCACCCCAAACCATAACTCAAACAGTGTGATGAACATGTCTTTCAACAAAAAGCTGTGGATTCCTCCTTTCACCACATCGCCTTCTAACCCTGGCACGACCATCGTGCATGCCTAAACAAAATCGAGACTCGTCACTAAAGACAATACTGTTCCATTCCTGATCCCAGAGTGACCGTTGTCTGCACCACTCAAGGCGATTACGTCGGTGTTCTCGAGTTAAAGGGAGGACCCAGTGTGGCCGGTATGAAAACAAGCCAAAACTTCTCATTCGTCGGTAAGCACTTCGCATGCCAATAGGTCTTCCGTGTTATGCAAACCATTCAGTTGCAATGGACCTGGTAGTGGAGAAACGGTCCCTTAAGGCCAATAATCTTAGGCGGCGATCTTCTCGGTCTGTTGTTCTACGGTGACGTCCAGTGCTCCTTGCTCTTTGCGTACGGCCTTCTCGAAGCCATGCCTGACAACACCTAACCACAGTGTCTACACTTCTTTGCACTCTAACTGCAATTGCCCGAAAAGAAAGTCCAGCTTCCCGAAGTCCCACTATACGGCCCCTATCAAACTCACTAAGTTGACGAAATCGTACAGGTCTCCGTACTCTAGGTATCGTAACCGATCGTAAAGGATGTCAAGAACCAAAATCCGCCAACGTTGATTCTTTACTGCGGCTGAAATATTCAATTTTAGAGCGTTAGTGAATTAAAAAAAACAGTATAAAAGCGGAATGTCCAACTGATAAGGCTGAAAATTTTTTCACTTGTTATTTACAGTAAGATAAATACATTCACCAACTTTTATTAAAATAAGACCATTTAAACTGGGTGTTCGCATTTATATTTCACTTAGTATATATTAACGATTTAGACGTGCTTCAAAGAACAATAATTGTAAAATCAATGCTTGGCTAATCAAAATTATACCCAACTGATGACTTGTATAATAATGTACAAGTATATACATATTACTAAACAATTTTACTTCTTGCATACCATCACGCATCATCACAAGATTATTAGTGAACTCGACACAATCAAACACAGTCATAAGACCAGATAAATTACGCGCAAAAGTTGTTCCTAAACCAAAAAAATTTGTAATGAAACAATCTCACCTGTATTTAGCTCTAAAATTGTATGAACACTTACTAAATAATTTGAAAAAATATAAAGCTGAATAAAAAATTGTTTTAAACACACCTGATACCTTGTCTTGTATTATACTGAAGTATTCTGATAAATTCCGATGACACTATTCCGATTCCACACATGTTCAGCTAGGTTTGTGGAAACTTCATGCTTACCATAATTCTATCACCATAAGATCCTCCACTACCGGACTAATACGTCTGTAGCCCCTGAGAACGGTGCAAGTCCTTGCAAGATGACGTCGATGGTGGAATTAAAACAATAGAAACCGGAGAATCAGAAGGCCTGCTTTGATCGGTAACTGGAGTGCCGCGGAATCCACTCGAAATTGGAAGCGAAAGAGAAGTAATTGGGAATGGAAGAGTCATATAGTTCTGTTTTGAGAGGGATATCGTAATCGCAATTTTGTCTCCGCGAACTCAGTCGGCCTGAACTTTTCTTTTATTCAACTGACGACTAGGTAGATGGAATCTGACGTTAACTTGAGGCAATTGCCTCTTACCCTAGTATTGAGCAGAGATCTGCAGCAATCTAGGTAGGTGAACTGTAGCGCTGTCGCTGTAACGGCAAATATCGGAATTCTTTGTTTCTTGAGAATTTTTCATCAGACAGAAAAAAATTATGAAAAATGAATGAAGCGTTGTCGTTGAATCAGTGTGTCAGTGTGTGATGAAGTAATTCCCAAGAGTTCTCTAGAAAAGAACTTAAGAATATTTACCTTACACCTTTACCCTAAAGAAACTTACATGAATCGCCATCCTGAAACAAGGAAAACAAAAATTTACTCATGGATCAACTTGTTCCAAAGAATGTTCTCGGTAGCATCAAAAAAAGTAATTAAGGGCCAACTTCACCAACAGTCCGTTATTCTACACCTATAGGGTAACAGCCCGTCAAATACAGCGAATGAGCTTCAAGTTCCAATCACCAAATTTTAGCAACCAATAGCTATGAAATGTTGAAAACAAAATACTGTCAAAGTATGAGATGACATTTTGTCATTGAAACATCATCAATCATCATTTTATTGAATATTAAGAAATTACATATCATTCAGTCAAAATTTAAAAAAATGTTCGATTTTTGAATGAAATTCACGTTATTATTTAATATTGTCGATTGTTTATTCATGTTTATATTATTTTCTTCAATTGATATGCGATTTTCCTGATTCAAGATTATCTACTGGGTGTTTTTTCCTATAAACCTCTTGCAGATAGCCATTAAGCACCTACTTGATGACTGGCTCTACCAAAAAGTTCATAGATATTGCTCGTTTCCAAACATTCATTCATTTACTTGCCGTTCATCAGAACCATTATGGCACCTTAGATTGATATTCCCACAAAACCATTCTGGTTTTTTAATATCCATACACATCCATAAAGTTGAATATTTTCGTTGTTCAGGAACTTAACAAACATCCACACTATATCACAGCGATTAAGAAATACCCAAATATATGTCGTAGAGCTACCAGCAAACCTGAAACCTGCAGATAAACTAGAAATTTGCAATATTTTTCTTTTTTCGCTGAGTACATATTCTGGGTTATATTTATATTAGACGTTATTTGAATCACAAAACATATACACTGATTTGAATAACAGCTGATTATCTCCTGATATTTTAAAACTAACCATATCGACAAATGACACATAATTCTGTGCGATCGGTCAACACTTCGTCCCAGGGGAGCAAACTCTGCCAACTGTCGAAATAAACTTTATTAATTCCAAGTCTTATTTTTGTTTTACTGCTCCTGCTTAGATATTCAAATACGGCCAGGAATTATTAGCGCCTGGCTATTTTAGGCCTTCAATAACTCCTTATTTTAGATCTCTCCTTATTTTGTTTTTTCCACGCATTCATGGTAGAAAGAAAAATATTTTATCGAATATCGATACAGTATACCGTGCAGCAGGCATGCCCATCACTACTTTGACATATTGCAGAATGATGTCAAGGTGACAATCGTTATGTGGCAGTTGTTTTTGTTTTTGTATGAAATAGGTAAGTAGGCTTTGTGTATTCATTTTTATTTTTATTGCGTTTCCAGAATTTCATATTTCGAAACGATGTCAAGGGCCGGCAAGGGAAAATCTCTCTCTGAGAACTGAAAATCATTAAACGCGCTGTTTTCAGTCTATTTTATTCTATCCCTTGGGGAAGTACAGAATGAAGAAAAGACTACAGTGCTCAGTAGCCACTCAGTGGCTCAGTGCTCGTCTGTAATGATAATATTCAAATACTACTAAACACCTAAATCGCTTTCTGGCCTTTCAATTTCGAAGCTACCAGTCCTCGCTAAGAGATGGTAGCACAGTTAAGGATAGTCTCGGGGTATACGGTTACGGATGTTTATGATTCCTCTCGATATCGATATATCGTCATGAAACAATCGATGCGTAAATATCGATGTTCTACGTCCGATGTATCGATGTTTTCGATACATCAATGTATCGTCTATCGCCGCCATCCCTATATTGTATCCCCACCAGTCACCAGTCAAAAACCTTAACCACCAATATCTTATCACTATTTATAATTCTTTTTAGTTCTTATTTCTCAGTAATTACTAATAATTTTAGGTATATGTCTACAGTAATTGCATTATGCACCTCGGAGATGTAGGGATTAAGATGTTTTACACATATCGGTGTTTTAGGATGGGGACGACCATACTGTTTTGATTGCTTTGAAGAAATTCATAAACCCATGAATTTATAACAAATGATTAGTATTAGGATGTAAAGAGAGATCAGGAATTGGTTGGAATATATTTTATATTCTATTTCCTTGCAAATCCGCACAATTCAACAGGTATGTGTAGCTATAATGATCACATATCCACATATTGAACTTAACAAATTTCGAGATTGCCATGAATTAACAAACGACCAAACCTGCTGCCAAATTTAACAGCTAGAAAATCGGCCTCTATTTCTCCCATTCCCATTCGCTGAGGGGATAACGGATGGTCAAATGTACACCTATAACATAAATCAAAATACATGAAAGTTGTCCTGTTTTCTCTATACAAAAGCATCATGTTGGAATCAAAAAGTGGTCTTGTTTATAATACAGTCGAATTTTCACGATTTTAATCAACATTTTAATAGAAATCACTGATATTCTGAGACCTTTGACAGCTTCCGTCAAATTGCATTTCGATAAGGTATTTTCTTACTGGCCCATAATATTAATGTTGGTGAAATCGGCCCTAAATCCGTCATTTATCCTCTATAGTTTTTTATAAGCGCATTCCATGAAGGCTCTCATCATTAGCATCATTATTACAAGTATGCATTACAACTGTTGGATCCTTAATCCAGTCTGTTTGTTGTAAAAATTGGAACTATGAAGCCATCTGCAGTCAAATTACCTTGCTCTGTAGACCATCCACATAACGAGTTTGTCATAGTCGAGATTGCATAATGTCAGCATGAAAAAAAACCTGTTTTATTAAAATATAGTTATACCTTCAATAGTGAACATTTATATAAGTAGATGTATCAAAAAAGTTTCCGGACTCGCTGTGTAACTTAGCAACAGACGGCAACTCGACGCTGTCCTACTAAATAAATTAGATGCTCACACAGTAGTTTGTGAAGTTTTCTAATTGCTTCTGTTTTACAAGAATTTTGTTCCGTGTCTTTGTGTCCGCTTGATTTCCTCTGTCGACAAGAGAGCAAAAGCGTGGAGCTTGGAAAAGCAGCTACATAAATAGCAAATATGCTTCGGCAAGTTCATGATGATGGAGCGATGAGACGTTTCCAGATTTTTGAGAGACGCTGGCGATTACAGAAAAAGATCCAAACAGCATCATAGCTATACAGGGTGTATAAAATTTGCAAGCATCTTCTTCTGACCGTATACGTTAATGTTTGAAGATTTGAATAGTTGTGAGGATTGCAGATGAGTATCAATGTGTCCATAAAGTATTATAAAAAAGCGATGAGGCTGGAGGCCTGACTTCGTGGAATGTGTAGGAGTTTCAAAGATGTTGAATATCTCTATTGTTAGGAGGGATATTCATCAGTAGCAGCAGCGGCGGCCGCAGTAGTAGACTCGTCGGTCTCCTGATCAGTCGCCGTGCGCTGTGCGGGTTCGAGTTCCGTCCCAGGAGAAATTATTCTCTTGGCTATGGATGTTATGATTGTCCGTAGGTGGTAGACGGTCTCTGACTGTCGAACGCGGAAGTACCACCCGGCGAATCTCGTAGGCGGAGCCAGAATGTGTGCATGTTGCATGCACACCTGTTCCCTCGCCAGAGTCCGTGTGGCGTCCCCCCCTTTCCCCTGTGCAATATCAATATGTATCAATGTGATTTAAACTTAGACTTAGACCATTGGTTTGCCGTAGGATGCGTCTGCTATATAAGTTTCTGTAGACCATCGCAAATTCTATACACTGCTGCAGTCTCTAATGCTTTTATACCTCGCAAAATAAATAATTCAGACATTAATTCAAACGAGGAAAACAATAGTTCTATTTCTGTCAAGTAGTAGCTAAAATAGAAGCGACGGCGGTGGTTTTAACCTAATAATCGGCAGGTTCTCGCGTTTCTCATCTTAATTCACCATGCAGAGAGACACAAAGAAAGCGCAGTCGGATCTGCCGAGCTGCAGCTCGGGATGTCGACAGACTAACAGAATCCACCTGAAAAGAAGTTTGACCGGAATCCGGATGAGGCTTCCACTACCATTCAGTCTCTCTCCGAGCATCACGTGCTTAAGAGAGCCAAACCAGTGGCGTACATTCATTTGAAACATTATAGGCTGCTATAGGGTGACTTGTAATGTCACGTATTCCTGTTAAGGGGTGATAGATTAGGTCAAAAGCAAGCGATTTTGTCCTATCATGTCTTATCCAAAAGTTAACCATTTTTGAGTTATTTGAATTAAATATTTAATTTTCTGTAAAACATCTAGTAATGAAATGTGCAAATTATGTAAATAATATTTCTATCTAACAAGCTTTCATTTGAGGTGTCAAGCGTTCAATTATCTGAAGTACAAGCAGAGAAACAACAATGACACCCAGAGAGGCTGGATTTTTAAGGAATTTGGATTACCTGTGTGAACAAGTCGTTACTGTCCTCAAAGGACTCGCATGCCATGATTGTTTTATGGCATCGGCTCGATGAGGAAGCGAGCGAGGAGAGCTGACTTAGTGGAGGAGTGAGAGAGAGAGAGAGAGAGCTGTTATCATTCATCATTGTAGTTACGCCATCGCCGCACGCCGAGTGAGAATTAGGTTTAGTTGTTATCAACTACTGCGCACGCGCACACGTTTTACGCACGATTATTATTTTCGAGTTTCCCAGTTCATTTCGAGTGGTTTCTTTATCATCATGGCAGACGCAGAAGATCTGCCAGGACCTCGCCATAGCGAGCACGGGCAAACTTTTACAAATGAAGAATACGCAGCCGTAATGTTCTGTTATGGACTTTGTAATGGCGATTCTGCAGCTGCCCGCCGTGAATATCGGCAGCGTTTCCCGAATCGCCGAACACCTCATGTTACTGTGTTTGACTCTGTGTATCAGCGCATCCACCAAACCGGACGTGTTCAAAGGCAACATAGTGATGCTGGTCGACCCCGGGTCTATCCCCCTGAAGATGAAATCCTTCGTGTGGTTCAAGAAGACCCTACTACGTCTACGCGCATTGTGGCTGCTGAGTTGGGTATATAACAATACAAAGTATGGTTTACTGTGCATACTGCAAGATTATACCCTTATCACTACACGCCTG